AATTTAACTTTTTTGTGTATAAATCCAAAATTATGGTTTTTGAACTATTTATTGAAAGTTAACAACTGCCTGGCAATTACGAGATGAGCCCTCAGTCAGGTTGCTTTTAGTGAGGTAGGATGCTCATCTCGTAATTGCCAGACAGTAGTAAACTTTCTAGAATAATTCAAAAACCATAATTTAGGATTTACACCACAAGAAGTTTATGTAAATTGAAGACTAAATCAATCAGTGAGGTAGGATGCTTATCTCGTAATTGCCAGGCAGTAATAAACTTTCTATAATAATTCAAAAAACCATAATTTGGGGTTTATACCCCAAGAAGTTTAGGTAAATTTAAGATTAAATCAACTTTAAGATTATTTTTAGTATATTCAATCCTTAAATTGTATAATATCTAATATGCTTTCGTGATCACGATGTAATTTAGCTAAATTTTAAAAATTATATCCATTTTAGCTCTAGTTTTTTTTGTTTTTCATTTATAAAAGGTCTTTTTGAGTACTAGAATACAAATTTCAATTTTCAGAACTGGAAATTACGAGATGAGCCCTCAGTCAGGTTCCTTTTAATGAGATAATTGGCTCATTTCGTAATTGCCCGACTATAAATTAAGTAAAAGAATTATTAAAACGTGCCTACAATTCAATTTCCTACTTCAATCTTTTTCAAAATTGGGCACAAGTAAATAAATAAAAAAAGAAGAAAGATTAAATTAAACCAAAATGCATTAATTATTCATTGATAATGACATCATAAAGGATGAGGAACTATCCTTTATGATAAGGATTTTTATGAATGATAGGAGGAAGGAATAAGAATGTTTATGAATAAGAAAGAAATTGGATTCAAATTACCCGAAAGGATTATATATTATAAGCTTCTTCAAGAGTTCATAACGTTTTTAATGTTAAATACAATGGTGATATCCCATTCATACCTCGAATTTACGTTTCTAAACGGACCAAGAGGATTAATTTGAAATATTTTGACACTGGGTTGTCTTCCAGGCCGAAATTCCTACTTTCTTTTTCCATCCGCAAAAAAAAAAAGAAAAGAAAAAAACATTTAGTCTTGACCAATTCTTATTCATTTCAAACAGCACGAAATATCGTTTCTGACAGTGATTACTTATTAAACGCTATTATTTCTTTTATTTAAAAAAAAAATTTAACTTTAGTTTGTCATAAATAAATAAATAACTAATTAACACCTCTTTCATATTGAAAAAAAATTCCTCAAACGGAAATAAACTTGAAAGAAAATTGAAGTAATAAACGAAATAAATAACTAATTAACGAAAAAATTTATTGAACCAGTCAAAATGGAATATGAGTTAAACACAAAGAAGCCTGTTAAAGAATAGACAAAGCAATTTTCAATTTTTTATCGAACAATTTCAAATAAAATTCAATAATGTAACGCTTTTGACGTAAAAGAAACATACGACGGTGCAGTAGTTATTTTTTTTATTAAAAAGAAGCAGTAATAAAAGTTTTTTTTTAATTTTTTCTTTTTTATAGGGCAGTGGGCGTCGCTCGGCGCAGTTCATTTATATATCATATAGCACAGATCACTATTGCCTTAGAATTAGAAATTAAATTATATTATTGAAATGACAAAGACTAAAAAATTTCATTAAGACTACCTTCCAAAAAGTCGTAATTTATTTAGAAAAATAATTAATATTTATAAGTTATAGGCGTTGGGTTAGATGCAAAGATTAAAGAGAGAAAAAACTTGCTTGCAAGACAAAACAAAAATAAAATGGAAATAGAAAGAAAGAAAAATAATAATAACAATAACACTTCAGTAACAAATTCTCCTCTAACAGAAATTTACTATAACAAAATATTAAATAATCAAAGAAAAAGAAGTTAACTGAAGAAGCAAAAGTAGATTAACTCGAAAGAAAAACTAAATTATTTTAAGTAACAAAAAGGGAGTTTACTTGGGGACTTAAAGGGATTTGAGACACAAAAAAAAAAAACCTTTAATAATTAGTTTAAAATTTCTCTCGACTAATTTTAAATGAAATTCAATAATTTAAATAATATTCAATAATATATGAAGCTTAAAACATCAGGTAGCACAATTATAGGTCGGGGGTATGTCACTGCAATTTATTAATATACCATTAAAACAATATCATTATATAGTTAAAGAATTAGGAAAATAATAATCAATTATATTTAAACTATCATCCAAATAACCATCACTTATTTTTAAAAAAAAGTGACCTATAGGTATTGCGGCAGATGTAATTTTTATTGAAGGAAAAAAAAAATTCTTGCAAGACAAAGCAAAAATAAAATTAAAATGAAAAAAAAAAAAATTATACTGCCCACTAAAACACTGGAGCTAAATTCATTCAACTTGAAAAACCGCTTCAGGAAAAAAGAAATAAAAAAAGGAAAAAAACAAGTAAAAGAAAAAAAACACGTAAAGAAAAAAGCAAGATAACGCCGGTTTATCATCCATTCAGTTTGCCTTTGATGAACGCCGACTAAGTTCAAGCGATAACCATGAAAGATTCTGCACGCTTTTTGAAAACGCCGACCGACACTGGACGATTATTATTGTTCATTCAGACGAATTCTACTCAGATATCACTCAAGATGGCGTCTGCAAGAAATCGGCTGCACTTTTTTGGCGTTTTTATGTCCCTTTTTATTTGAAACACATACGCAGAGGAATGTTAAGAGGTAAAAATCATTCGAAAATATATAGGAAAGCGAGATGAAACAAAAAGAAATCGTATGATTTCAGAAATTCGTTAAAGAAGGTTCGAAGAACAAGAGATATATTTTGCATGCTTGTTTACAAAATAAAATAGTTCTGTTTTTAATATTTCTATTCATTTTAAACGTATCGCGGAAAAAATTGAGGTTAAAATCATCTGAAAATATTTCTACAAAAAAATTTATAACTAAATTAGAATCACTGATTTCAAAAATATCTTCATAACATTAAAGAAGTTAAGTAAAAATATGTGTATAATATTCGATAATAATTGAAATATTAACTCACATTATTTCTTGAGCAAACGATTTTGTACTTGGCGCAAGTAATATTATTTTTCTTTTTTTTTAAACACATAAAACATATACACAGAAGAATAATCATAAAAGTCATCTGAAAATTTATATAAAAACAAGTAACATATTTTATTCACATAAGGTACGCGCTTGTCTCATATAGCATAATATCATGCTCATGAAAAGTTTTTCGAATAATAGAAATTCCAAAACAACTATTTACTTAGCAATCCATTAAATTTCTCATCAAGTTATCGTTTTCTATATCAATCAATATAAAACTTGCTAATTGTTGGGTCTGCTCCATGACATCTTTTAGTATCATGTAACGGTTTAATAATAATTATTTTAAATATTTCTTTCAGAAAATTAAAGAACAATTGTACAAATTTTAAAAAATTAGGAAACATTCCTACTAAATATGGCTCGACCGTTCTACTTTAAATGCACTAATTAAATTCTCAACTTCTAAATGTATATTTTTTAAGATTTTTTTTATTTATTTTTTTCACGAATATTTTCGTTGCAGCGTTGGAAAGTATTTTATATTAAAATGAAAAGTTACTGAATTCTTTAAACTCCATCAGAATATTTCTTAAATAAATAGTTCTTAATATAGTTTCTTAAATATAAAACTTAAATAAATAGTTCTTGTACATTAATAGCATAAATATTAACGAACATCACCTGTACAAATTAAAACTAACGTAAGTTGTAGATACCCTTAACATTCTTTGTACTATAATCGCATTATGTTTGTTCTAATTGAAAGAAAATTGCAATGACTTGTTTAAAAACTACATTAAAAGAATGCAATGATCACTTTCTAAACCACCTAAATAAAATATTTTATGAAAGGAAACATTACGGGAATAACCAAGAATTACGAAACTTAAGAAGAGAACCAATAATTACGAAATCAAGAATTACAAACAAACATTCCGCATCTTAAAAAAACAAATGAAAATGTATGAAATGACAAAGTAAAAGTGATTAATAATGATTTTGATTTCCCAAAGCTTTTGTTGCATAACTACAAATTGTCATCACGTATTTAAATTTGATAAAGTGGTTATGTTTTTATTCATACTTCATGCGGCTTTCTTAAAAGAATGCTGCAATTAATAATTCAAAGGACGACGTAAAATTTCCTTCAACGCAGTTGCCATAGCAACGTATGTGAATGTGTCTTTTTATTCATACAACAACGCTTCCTTAAACATTGCGCGGCGCGTAAAGGAATAGAATAGTTTTCACTACTATTTCAGATATTTATTATTTTCACTGGATATATAATTTCGTAATTTTTTTATCTTCAAGTTTCATTTAAATTTATACCCGTTTAAAATTGAAAACACAATTTTCTAAATTTAAAAAAAAAAATTTCTTTGGAGCATAAACATGATTTGCACATTTAATTTTATTCAAAAAAGCAACGATTATAAAATAAACATTTTTATTTTACTTAAAGAAATATATATACAAAATTTAAGGTCTATTACTCGTATGTAAACAATAAAAACTTAAAATTTAATTCAATATAAGATTCGATGATATAAATACATCCTCTAACTAAAGAATCTTTGTATTTTTGTTTCATAATTTTACCAAGATTAAAATATCTAAAAACAAATATTCATAGCATAAATTAGCATAATAATAACATCCATACTCATATACAATAGAATAAAATTTTAATACATTTATTCTATAAAATTAAATTATTCATTTACTAATGTACATCGACAAATTGGAATCATTTAGTATTTTTGAAACCATATTTTTCTGATATATGAATAGTCAAAATGGTGAAAGAATTTAATTAAAAAAATTGTTTTCCTGTATATTTGTATGCATTTAAGTAGGGCAACAGAAGTATTTAGATAAATTCATGGAATTAGTTCTCTAAACAAAATACATGATTGGTGAAGATAATTGAGTTACAGTAAAAATTCAACTTACCAGTGGGCATTCCGACATAGTACGTCCAGCTTTAGCCAATGCAGAAGGTAACTTAAGTGTAAATTTCGGAATTTTTCCTAAGATACTCGACATTTTTATACCTAAGCCTCCACCACATGACGTGGAAAGGCGATAACGTTCCCACCAGGCCGTTTTGTTGATGTCAAAACCTTTAAAGCACACTAGTTCCTAATCCCTTCAATGCACAAGAACATAAATATATTTTAAATAAAAAATTAATAATTAAAACTGGTAAGCAGAAAGATCGGTATCCAAATAAGAAGGAAGTAGGCCGAAATATTTCGAACTTATTTTGAAGCACTCTTAGTATCATACGTTAGAGAGCAACAGTAGATGAATGAATGAAATAGTGAATATTCCGAAGGACTGGCAGTGAGGAGATGGCATGGCATCCTCCAGGTTTTCGTTAGGGTTGCCGTGTTGAATCGGTCGCCAATAAATGCCAAGCTGTTCTCGCCAACCAAGTTCCATATTTGGTGATTTACTCCATCAATAATTTGTAGATTTTAAAAATTCTTGTAGTGTTCTAAGTATACTTATTTAAAACAGCCGTTAAGTAGTGTGAATACGGATTTCGAAAAACACTTTAGCTATTAAAGAACATTTTAGGATTTTTTTAGACTAAAAAACAAATAACGTGTATATAAAAATCTTGAATTCTATATTTGGTGATTTACTCCATCAATAATTTGCAGATTTTAAAAATTTTTGTAGTGTTCTATGTGTACTTTTTTAAAACAGCCGTTAAGTAGTTAGAATATGGATTTTGAAAAACACTTTAGCTATTATCAAACATTTTAAGATTTTTTTAGACCCAAAAGCAAATATCGTGTTTATAAATATCTTGAATTCTCCATAATAAGATAATTAACGCAATGCTAAAAAAATGCTATCATAAATTATGTTTTTTTAGGTATTTTAAAGAAAATTTTCTTCGTATTTTCTAACATAAATTTTTATATTTTATGAATTTTTCGTCCTAAAAGCCTGAAAGTTGATTATTATTTCTGAGTGCGTGAAAAGTAAAGGGATGAAATAAATATACATTTCATCAATTTAATCATAGTTACTAAGCTTTTTAAGACATTCAAAAAGGTACGAAAAAACAAGCAACAAAACAATCTTTTACAGCTAACGCTCAATTAAAAATCTTTCATTTGACATTAGAAGAGGATTAAAAGTTAAAACAGAAAATTTATTGAAATGAGCTCAAAACTCAATGCAGTATGAAATTACCATTAATGCCAATTTATTTACAATAAATTCATGTTTAAGTTATTTACAATAAAAATATAAATAAATAAATAAAATAAAATAAATTATCCATAAAAATAGTTTTCTTCATACTCCTATTTATAACTCTCGAATTAATTTTTCGCTTTCATTTTATACTAAACAAATAATAATAACAATAGTAAAAAAAAAATTTTTTTTGAAGTAATTTAAAAATTTAAAAAAAAAGGAAAAAAAATTCTCTACATGTCACTGATTAATCTCCTAACGACTTTTAAAAAAAAAATTAAGAAAAATTGCAAATCGAGTGGAAAAACCGAAATAAAATAGTCAGATTAGTTTTTTTTTCAAATTGAAATAAATAAATAAAATTCAAAAGCTATATTAATTTAACGACAAACTTGGCTTCTCATTTTGAATCCTAATTAAATATTTATAAATACTGATTACAAGTAATTACATATTTTTTAAAAATTAGTTATTATGTAAGCATTAATTGGAAGATTGCGGAAAGGATCTTAAAATATTTTTTAGTCTTTTCGTAAATGTCATAAGAAACCTTGCCTAACATAAACTTTCATAACAATCTAATGTTCACATTCAGATACATTAAATGTGTGTTAAGTTTTGCATTGCGTTTTTAAAGACCGATGCTTTTTTTAAAGAAACTTTTTTTAAAACAGGGCTGATTTTTTTTTTCAGTCAACATTACCAATACCAGAAGAGGAAAAGGTTTTTGTCATCTTCACACATCTTTTATCAAATTAACATTGTTTTTAAAGCCGCGGTGGCTCAGGGTATAAAGAGCTTGCCTCCTAATGATGTGACCCGGGTTTGAGTCCCAGCTATGACTGTTCGATACAATTCCGCACCCGACTCGCGCTGAACACAGTACTGACGTAAAATATCCGCAATGGTAGACGGATCATGAGTTTGAATCCCTTTGCCGTCTGTCTAACCGTGGGTTTTCCTCTCCATGTAACGCAAATACAGGTTTGCTCCATCTAAAAATCCTCCATAAAGGCAAATTTCTCCTAATACTTGTTCAAGGTGTTCTCTTGTCTTCTGGATTGGATTCAAAATTACAAGGTTCCGCAGTTGAACACAAGTAGTCACAAACTCAAAAATTGGATCAGCTGTTCAACGACGATCATGAAAAGGAAACCACATTGCTTGACTGAAAACTAAAATAATCATAATTTAAGAAGCATAATTTATAATTTATTTTTATAACAAAGAATTTTCGATGTCTTACAACAGTGTTTCCCAAAGTTTGGTACGCGTACCCCCGAGATATAGGTAACGCGTTCCTATGCGAAATATCTTGCAACAAACGAAAATTTAAAAAATTTTTATTTAAAAACAAAGTTAGCCATTAAAATTTACGATTACGTATTTTTCCATTGGCTATTTTTTGCATAGTTGACAGTTAATAACTAAAATATGTTAATAAAAATAAAAATATTTTTTTTTAAAAAATACATTTATTTTTTTTTAGTGGTACACAGCGTTGCGAAAAATTTAGAAAGGGTACACTAAAGTCATTCGAATTAAACTAAAGTCATTCGAATTAAACGAAAATTTCGAAAAATTTTATTTAAAAACAAAGCTAGCCATTAAAATTTACGATTACGTATTTTTCTATTGGCTATTTTTCGCATAGTTAACAGCTAATAACTAAAATATGTTAATAAAAATAAAAATATTCTTTTAAAAAAATACATTTATTTTTTATTAGTGGTACACAGCGTTACGAAAAATTTAGAAAGGGTACACTAAAGTCATAAGTTTGGGAAACACAGTCTCACAATATCAAGCATTTTACAGATAATAAATTCCTTCTATTCGAATTAAACTGTAAATAAAGGAAGTCAATGTGTTGTTTCTTTGATTATCTGATATAATATCACTGAAGTACTCGAAAACTCTTTGATGAGCCGCTTTCTGCTTTTCATTGAGATACAGAGAAGTCTTTCATTCAGTGATTTTATGAATGGAGCGATGCATTGAAAGGTAGAGGAAAACATTCATAAGAACTTTATAAAGATCCTTCTTTTTGTCTCTCAACATGTGGCATTATAATTATCTCATTACCTGACGAAATGTTGTATAGTACTCCTTTTTTTTTCCTCCTCTCATTACATTAATATTGTAAGAAAAAAAAGTCCTTTTTTTTTAATAATACGCATTTAGGTTAGGAGAAATTCCTAGAGCAATCCAGGTAATTGCTTGTTTCATTAAACGATAATTAAGTTTAGTCTGCAATTGAATCAAGACTCTGAGCCTAGTTCAAGTAAATCACAAAAAGTGCTTATATTTTAATTAGAAAAAAATTATTTTCAACAATTTTATTTTTCGTTTTTTTTTTTACTCTTAGCAGATTAATCCCGGAGTTCTCAACTAGGGAAGAATTCTTCCTAGACTGAAATTTCGCACTTTTAGGAATATTGTGACTAGTTTGGGTCTGTATACAAAAACTTAATGAAACTGAAAAACCTGGTAAAAATATAAAAACTATCAGCCTAGGAAACAAGAGTTATATTAAAGCAAGGACATAAAACGAGTAACAAAAATTAAAATCGTTTCAAAAAAAAAAATTTTTTTTTTTTCGAATGAATACTTAAGTATATTGCGTATATTTTTCCCGGTGTATTTTAACCGGGGATATCTAATGCATTTTTTACTCCGCTACTTTTTCCAATGCTATTCCTTTTCCATATAATCTTTATGATTGTACAGTGTTTCCCAAAGTGTGGTACGCGTACCCCCAGGGGTACGGGAACAGTTCAGCGGGGGTACGTGTTCTTATGCAAAATATCTTGCAACAAGCGAAAATTTCACAAAATTTTATTTGAAAACAAAGCTAGCCATGAAAATTTACGATTATGTATTTTTTTATTGGCTATTTTTTACAGAGTTAACAGTTAGGGGTATCAACAGCCGATTGTGATTTTTAACTTTTGGGCAATTTTTTTTACAGTAAAAAATACATTAATTTTGTATTAGTGGTACAGAGCGTTACGAAAAATTTAGAAAGGGTACACGAAAGTCATATGTTTGGGAAACACTGGATAGAACATAGGGTAATTTTTTTTCTTCAACTTTTTTTCTTGTTATTTTTTAAACACAATCATCATATTTTTTTTAAATTGAATATTTTAAAATAATTTTTAAAAAATTAAAGACGCGAAATTTTTGAAATTTAGATTGATGGCTGCACTGTTCTTTGCCAAAAAAGACCCAACGCTCTAAAAGTTAAAAAGTAAAAAACAGTAGTCAAAAACAGAGGTGCCTGAAAAAGGCAGGCCTCAACCATGGCAGTCAGGCCAATGGATAGACACAAGCTGTAGGCTGCACTGCTGTAAATTTTAGAACAAGTTGAACCAAAAAATCATTTAAATTTACTGCAACTTTAAAACGATTCCAAGTTTAACTATAATATCAGATTTCTTTGAAGATGATGGTGGAATATTATATTTCAATTTTAAAAAAAACATGGTTTAATTAAGCAGTTAATTACGGATGCAGCAAATTTCAGCGATATTGTTTATGAACCCTTATTCTAGAAACAATTTATTTGCTCGAGGAATCGATATATCGTGGCCCAACGTTTTTCGAAATTTTAATTTATGCAATGGGTTAAGACATTCGTAAAGATACAAAATAGTGATAAAACTATATGAATGATTTAGAAATCATTGATATAATAAACTTTATTGATAGAGGCCGACAAGTGAACATTATTTTGCTGATAATGAATTTTGTTATCGGAGTATTTGCCAAAAGACAACAAAAAGCGATTTTAAAATCAGGAATTGCAGATAAAGATCGGGGGAAATTGTACTCTTGTTGAATTAGATTAACTTGTAAAAAAGTAAATAAATTGAAAAAGAATAAAAATCCATCTTCGTATTTAATAGTACAAGCGTTTTACGATAAAAATAAATAAATAAATATATCTGCTTCCTCAGCATTGTTGTGGGGGGCTAAGAAATTTTTGCAAAAAATTTCACTTTTCCGAAGAAACAAGCTGATTTTGAAAAAAGAAAACATCCAAATAAAATCTTTTACTTGAATCTCGTTCCAAAAATCACAGACTTTCGTTTCCGGGTGTTATAATTAATTCTTCAATAATTTCGACATTTTTTGGT